ATGGCGTGTATTGGGGGACTAGGGTTTCAGGTTGGAGGAGCCAGTCTTCGGCTCTGAGGGAAACGGGGAGCCCCTTCCCCTCTCCCCTCAGCCACAGAAATCTCCCTGGAAACGTGTGAGCCCCGATCTCTGGAGAGAGCGAGCTGGAGAAGACCTCCCAGGCCCCTCCCCACACCCCTAGGGGAAGGCTGGTGTCTTTGGGTTCAAGTCCTGTCTTTGCCCCTTGCTGTGTGTCCTGGGGCAAATTGCTTACCTTCTCTGAACTTTGGCCTCGTCATTTGTAAAAGCAAGGGCAGCCGGGCCCAGGGAGCTCTGTGGGGTGGATTCACTAGTTACACAGTTCTTTGCCTTTGTGGACCGGACCTGGTTGTGCCCAGGGGCTGTTTGGAAACACACTGCGGCTGGTGAGATACCAGTGGGGTTTACTGCACACTTCTATGTGCCGGGCACCGCAAAAGGCTTACATGCCTGGCCTCTCGGTTATTCCTTGCAGCCCCTAGAGAGGTGGTCTCGTTTGGCAGGCGAGGAGACAGAAGTGCAGAGGGGTTCGGGGACAGGCCCTGGGGTGCGGTTAGCAGGCATCAGAGTGGGGTGATTTAACCCTGGCTCCCCGCTTGGCAGGTTTCAGTGTAAGCACTGGGTCTAGACCCAACCTCCAGGACATCCTGCCAGTGGGAGTTAGCAACTCGACAGCAACGCCTGGAATGGGGGAGACCGAAGACCTGGTACAGCTGCGGCAGCTCAACCTGGAGCTTCTGAGGCAGCTGTGGGCCGGTCAGGAGGCCATGCGGCGGGCAGTGGCCCGGGCAGCCTCAGAGGTGGGTGTGCCCCTAGGAAGTCGCAGGTGGCAAGGAAGGGGCCGCGGTGTCACCTGAGGCCCAGCTAGGGCAGGGAGGGGCCCAGGATGCCGCGGGAGGAGGGGCTAGCGTGGGACAGGGACCCCGGCGCTCATGCCCAGTACAGGCCAGCTGGGTCGGTGGCCTCTGGCTGGACCGCTCCCCGGTGACCTGGCCTTTCTGTTCAGTCAAGCCTAGATGCGAGCAGTGGTGGGAACTCAGAGATGCTGTCGTCCCGGGAGACTTCCTTGACGTCCGTGGGGGCTTCCTGCCCAGAGGAAACCCCCCCAGGTGACCCCTGGGGTGTGTCCTGGCCCTGCGGGGCCAGCTCTGGGGAGAACTCTCTCCCGCCTGGCACCTGCCAGCACTGGACGTCCCTGGGCCGACCAAGGGCCTGCTCGGCACCCTCAGTGACCACCTGGGATTCAAGTGAGTCGCCGCTTTCCACAGAGCAAAACAGGGAGGGGCCCCCGGAGGCACAGGCCCCAAGGTCTCTCCTGGATCAGCGGAGCAACCTGCCCCAGGTACCATGGAAAGGGGCACCTGTGGGTGGGTGGGCAGGGGCTTCCCCTTTTGACAGACGCCCCCAGGCACCTCCTGTGAGCGACAGGCTTCGGAGAGATGCTGTGGGTGGCATCCAGCTCAGCCTGGTGCCTGTTCAGTGTGTCCTCAAGCTCTGGGGAGGTGATAGCCCCATTAGACAGGTGGGGCGATCGAGGCTCCAGAGTCAGAGGCTGGCCCAGCGCCAAACTCTTGCCTTCCAGCTCCTCAGCCCCAGTCCCTTGTCCTGTCCTCAAGATAAGGTCCCCTTTGGCCCCCAAACTTGCTGGCCTAACCCCTGTTCCTTGCTGTCTCTCCTCAGCCCAGAGTGACCTTCTGCAAGGAATCTCCTGTGCCTGAGAGGAACTGGCGCCTCAGACCGTACCTGGGCTACGACTGGATTGCAGGTATGAGCTGCCCCTGCTTGGAGTGGGGTGGAGGCCTGTGCACCCTGACTTATCTGTGCACCTACCCGGGCCCCTACCGGGTACTGCTGCCATTTCTCCTGCCCAAGGTCCGTCGGGGTGTGTGCTCTGCCCAGCCCCTCCTGGCTCCTGGGAGGCCCTCCTGTCCTTTCCTTCCCCAGCTTCATCCTGTGACCTGGAGTGCCACTGAGAGCCGCTCGTCTCCTCTCTGGTGCCAGCACCTTCCTCTTGACCCCTCGTTTACCTTCTTGCTGGTCGCAGTCAGCGGCCGTCATTGGCCCCACTGAAGACCGAGGCGCCAAAAGGCCGAGAAACCTGGGCCCTCCGCTGCCCAGCCTGTTACCGCCCCTCCTGCCGAGAGACCCCCCCTTTAACCTACACTGACTACTAGCCAACTGCCCATTTCCTCGCTAACAGAATTTCCCGAAGGGCCCTCTGGATGTGCCATTTCTAGTTGCTGTCCCCTGCTTTTCTGACACCAGACGGCTCGGCATCCGGCGGCCCCGTCCTGCCCAGTGACAGCGCTGCGTCACTCCCGCCAGCACATGCGGCCCTGAGCGGCGGGGCTGGCTGCGCCGCTCCCCGCCCCAGTCTCCTGGCTGCTGCTCTGCTAAGTCCTTGTTCCTGCGCCCAGACACCCAGGCCTCACTCATCCCCCCTGTGCCCACTCCCTGGGCCCCAGTGCCGAGGCTTTGGACCATGTCTGTGCTCCCCCATTTTTCTGTACCCCACTTTCCTCCTCTCCGTGCAACCAGGTAACACTTTTAGATAAACCTGATTGACTTTTAATATAAACTGTTACAGTGCACACTGATTGTATATAAAGACCTTACATATGACAAATTAAATTTCAGAAAAAAGGGGAAAAAAAATCCAGGTCCTGATGGCCAGCCTGCCCGTCCCCCGCGTCCTCCTGCCTCTGGTAAACAGCCAGTAGTCTGGAGTGGCTGCGAGCCCCCTGCGCTTCCTGGCCTCGCCCAGCCCTGAGCACAGCGTGGTAGCCCTGCCTTCTGCCCTTTCTGGAACCAGCTACGGCTTACCAGGGTGCCTGCCATAACCTCAGGTTCTGCTTCTGCTTGCCTGGAAGCAGCCACAGGGGGGTTCCTGGTCTGATGACCTCACTCCTTGGTCCCAGCCAGGCCCTGCAGTTTCCCAGCTTCCTCTCTGCCCTCCGCCCTCACTGCACTGCCGCTGTCTGCCCCTGGCAATCCCTCCTGGGCATGCGGCTCGTGCCTGCCCCAGGGCCTTCTCACTGCTCTCCCGCAGCCAAGACCCGCTCAGCGCCCTCCTCCGTGCCGTCTTGCTGAGATGTCCCGCCCTTCCCTGCCACCCTGCCCTCACACGCCACTCCCTGGCTCTATTCCCATGGGTGTCCCCACGCACACAGATTTCTCTGGTGACTGGTTCATCTGTGGCCGCCATTAGAATCTAAGCCTCGCACATGGGCTGGGTTTGGTCCACTGCTCTTTCTGCAGCCCCCGTGACTGTCTGGCCCGCAGCAGGAGCTGTATGTGTCCTTTGCATGGACAAGTGGGTGTGTGGCAGGGTGGACAGATACTGAGACAAAACCAGCACGGTCCGAGGGGACCCCTGGGTCTGTATGTGGCATGGGCAGGTGTCGGGGCACAAAGCTGGGGCCTGGGGTGCCAGGGCTGAGCGTCTGCAAGGTCTTGGTCAGTGGCCACAAGGCCGTGCCGGCACTTTGCCCACTGCAGGTTCCTTGGACAGCAGCTCTCCTGTCACCAGCAAGCCCGAAGCCTTCTTCTCGGAGCTGTGGCACTTTCGGGACGCCAACCGGGAGGAGTGTGTTTGCAATGACCAGGGGTGAGCTGAGCAGGCGGGCGGGGCCGGGCGGGGCAGTTGGGGCCTCCGCGCCCAGGCCTGCTCACCCTTGCCCCGGCAGGTCCCCATTCCTGGGCTTGCGTGAGAGAGGGGATGTCCCGGAGGATCACGAATGTGAGTGTCAACCCTCGCAGGCCACGCTCATCGTCCCCACACGTCACCCCCTTCTCTCCAGAGCGCCCAGCCCCGCTCTTGGGGGCCTAGGGAGGTCCTGGGGGAGGGAGGCCCAGGGTCCTCCCAGATGGAGCAAGCCCTGAGTGAGGCCTGGTCCCGTCACCCGACCTCACCCCACTCTGGTGGCCTTCGGCTCTTCCCCACTGCCCCGTCTTCCATGTGTCTCCCGCTCCCTGTGTGTGGGGCGTGCTGGCTCCATCACACGCGCCTGAGCACCACGGTTGTTTGTATGTGTGTCCGCGTGTCCACGTGTGCGTGAGGGGATGCATGTTTCTGGAGTTCCGTGTGTGCGCCTGCGTGTGTCCACGGTGCAGGGAGAGTCAGCGTGTCCTGCACGCTCGACGCGCCCGAGGTGCGGAAGCCGCGTGTGCGCTCTGCACGTGCTACACGTCCAGCCGGGAGTCCTTCGGGGCGTGAGGGTGGCGCGCGGGAGCCCAGCCGTCGGGGCCCCAATTCAAGGACAGCGGCTGCTTGTCACGGGCCTCACAGGCGTGTACTGTTACCGCGTCAACCGGCGCCTGTTTCTGGTGCCTTCGGATCCTGGCGCCCCCTGCCGCCTGTGCAGGATGCCCCGGGGCCAGCGGGGCCCTGAGACCTTGGCGCGCCCAGCGCAGGTCAGGTGAGTGGCCAGAGCAGGCAGCACACGGGCTGGGCGTGGTGGGCCAGCAGGGTGGCAGCAGCGGAGGGCAGCAGAGCCAGCTCAGGGGCAGCTCTGGCAATGCCCCGTCACCTGTGCCAGGGTGAGTGTCCCGCTCTCCATCCTGGACCCCCCGCACCGCCACCACATCCACCGACGGAAGAGCTTCGACGCCTCTGACACGCTGGCCCTGCCCCGGGTGAGCAGCGCCGTGGGCCTGGGCTGAACACTGGGTCGCCAGCTTGCGCAGCGCCTCCCGTCGAGAGGTGTCCTGGGCAGCATGGCGGACGTGGGGATCCTCCCTGTGCCCAGTTGAGAGAGCGGTTGCTGGAGCTGGGAGCCGGTTTGCCAGCCTGTACGGTGGCGCAGCAGTGGTGTCCTCGGGCACGTGGCGGGGCCTGGTTTCGGTGACTCAGCACCTGTCAGGCTGGGGCTGGCGCCGGGCCCCCAGGGGGTGTGCTCACAGTGTCCGAGGCCGCCTTCCACCCAGTGCCTGATTAGTGGTGCTAGGAAATGGGTACCAGGGAGACCCCAGTGCTGGACACAAGGTGTGCTTCAGTTTGTGGGGGACACTGACTGCTTGGAAGCACCTCACGGGGTGCTGCCAGTCTGTGAGGAGAGGAGAGGCACAGCTCCCGGTTGGGGTGTGCCCTCACAGGGGCTCCCTGCCTGGGCCAGGCACTTCAACCCCTTGCTCCCCACAGCACTGCCTGCTGGGCTGGGACATCTTCCCTCCAAAATCCGAGAAAAGCTCAGCCCCGAAGAGCCTGGACCTCTGGTCCTCTATCCCCTCCGAGGCCCAGCACCGGAAACTGTCAGCCACTGGCCCTTCCTGCTCGGTATGGCCCCTCGTCCCTGGAGCAGACCTGGAGACTGCAGTCTCCAGGGAGCAGGATTGGGGCGCAAGGCTCTCTGTGCAGGAACCCAGCCCCCCACCCCTGACCTATGGCGTACCCCCAGGCTCTACCATTCCTGCTGGCTGCCTCACCCCAACCAGGAAGATAGCCCCAACTCAGATTCAGAAGGGAATGTGGCTGGAACTAGGGGCGACCGCCCCTCTGAGACCTCCCTGTTCGCCACCCAGGCCCTGCCAACTCGAGTTCCGTCCCCCACGGCCATCTGGTCGGAACCCGAGGTTCCCCGGCCCCGTGCACACCGGCTGAAGCCCTGAGGACTGGTCACATGGAGGACAGTGCTGCTGTTGCCGCTACCCTCGCCCCTGTGGGGGTGGACCAGCCGGCCTAGACTGGGGTGACTCAGGCCCCACCTCCCAGAGGGTCCCACCCTCCCCGGTGGTCTCCAGGCTTGTCTCCTTCCTGGGGATACAGGGTAGGGGTGAGGAGGTAGGGGGTGAGGGATAATGTTTGTAAATAAAGCTCGCGTTTTCCTGAGTCCCCTGTGTACTGCTCTGTCTGTGGGTGCCCAAGGGGGGCCCTGACCCAGCCTTGGTCTCCCCTCCTGTTGTCTGGAGAAGACACTTCTGGCAAAGAGTCCTGGGCAGGCTGGGCCCATTGGCTGAGTGTGGCTCTTTCTTCAGCTCCCCAGTTCTGGAGAGATGCCTCCTCCAACCAGACAAGTGGGGTGAGGACCCCCTAGAATAGGCTCAGGTCAAGGTCATTGTCAAATCATGTCCGTGAGGAGCTGAGGTCTTGGGCACTGCCCAGGGGGAATTCTGGTTCTGACCATACTCCCCTTTCCCACGTCTTCGCCCCCAGGCCCCCAGGCAAGGCTCCAGCCCCATGAAGCTTCTTTCTGGTTCCTGGGCCTGCTGGCAGCTCTCGGGTCTGCACCCTCTGTCCAGAGCTCTCCCGCGAGCTCCGACTCAGGCGGTGGCTTCTGTGCCCGCTCCTCACTGGCCGCCCCTGATCTCACAGGATTGGCCAAGGGGCCTGAGTCTGGGCCCCTGCTGCTCGCCATCCAGTCCTTACTACCTCACCGTAAACTCCTCAAGGATGAGAAGCCAGCCTGTCCCATCCTCGCTCCTGCATCTAGCGTGGCACGTGGCAGGTGGCGTGGGCTAGGTGTTTGGTGAGCTGATGTTGCATGGATTGAATGAAGTTGCCCCCAGGTCTTGGGGCGAGGGAGGCCGCACAGCCCCAGGACCCGAAGTGAGTGTGTCCCTGGTAGCTGAGCTGTGCTGCAGACGATCTTGGGGTTTTCAGTTGATGGTAGCATTTGTGTCTTGGGCAGATCTTGGGGGCTGGGATGGGAGGTGAGTCACTGGGGATAGCTGTAACATCTCCATCTTGGACACGTCACACCTGCCAGCAGCTTCAGACTTGGTCCCCTGGAGTGTGTCGAGACCACGGACTTTGCCCTTCCCCTGTGGGACCTTTCTGATGCCCCAAAGAACAGACACAGACACTTCCGACGGCCGTGGTGCAGGTGCGTCTCCCTAGAGGGTGAATGACCCCGCAATCGTGACCCCACAGTCATGTCTCCATTTCTCACGATCCAGAAGTGCAAACTGCTGCATTCTCCAGAATTACTTCCCACGTGCTTTTGGAGCGTCATGTTCTGATCTGAGAATTTACTTCGTTCAGGTGCAAGAAGAGTTGCTACGGGCCCCAGCCTTGGCGTTAGGCACAGCCTGCTTGCCAGCCCAGGTCAGGAGCCGGTGGGGGCCTGGCCTCAGGTGGGGCACAGAGTGTGGCTTCAAAGAGCTGGGGGCTCCGGCCCCAGCTTCCTGATGTTGACCTTGGGCTGGCCATCGCCCCTGTAGCTGGGCCCCATCATCGCCAAAGGCTGGTGATGCCAGGTCAGAGGGCAGCGACCCGAGATGGGCTGAGGATGCCTTGGGTAGTGCCTGGCAAGAGGGAGATTGTCATCAGCTCTTCCTGCCCCCACCGCATGCCGGGCATCCATGGGTGCAACATCGTCCCCCACGGGGCGACCCCAGAGTGGGGACAGTGGCCTGTCCTCTACGAGTTCACCCTCCCTTGCACACCCCTCCCCTGGGAGCTAGGAGGGAACCGGAAGTGGAGCATTTCATGCATGAAGACCTGCTCTACCTTGGGGGTGGGGGTTGTCCCAAAAGTGAAGGCTGTGAGCCAGGGCAGCCTTCTTGCCAGGGGTATTGGTTGGAGGTGCTGCCCATGGGGAGGGACAAGGCCAGCCAGCAGGCTGCGGTGACCAGCTCCTTCCCCTCAGTGAGCCTGGCAGCGTGAGGGTCCAAGTCACGAGTGGAGCCCGGGCCCCAGAGATCACGCAGTGGCTGCAGGGACGCGTGAGGTTGGACCTCGGTGACGGGCGTCTGGCGGTGGTTGAGGGACATTCCCCTGTCGTGGCGCCAGCTGACCACAGGGTGTTCTCCCTGTTCATCTGTGACTAGAGGTGGCGGGGCATCTCTCCAGCCCTGGGGGCCCCAGCAGAAACTCAATACAAACCCACACTGCTAGGACGGGGTGGCCTGGGCCCCAGCTCCCCAGGGGGCACCATTCTCCACCAGGCAGACTGAGGATGCCTGTAGGATCTCAACCGGGAGAGAGAGGGAGGCTTTGAGAATTGTCCACACCTTGGAGCTGGTGGGGGAATCCTTGCCACCAGACCAGAAACCCAGCTGTCCCCTCTCATTCCCAACAAATGCTGACACGTGTCCAAGTCTCTTAGAGGACACCCTGTGGGCCTGTGGGTCAGTGTGTGCACAGGGCTCTGACCTGTAGCCATGGCCTGGGCTTCAGTACCTCCGGTGCCTGGGCAAGTCAGCGGCCCCTCTGAACCTGTCTCTTCTTAGGTGCTTTGAGGGTTAGATGAGGGAGTCTGAGTGGATTCCCTGATGAGGAGCTTGCAGTGTTCAGCCTGGTCCCCAGGAAGACCACTCACCATGAAGAAGCTTAGAGCGAAGTTTGTGAAGTTCAGCCCCCACCCCATTCTCCAGAGAGGGGAGCGGTCTGGAGAGCGAGTTAACGGTTTTCACGTCGACACGGGGAGCCCCTACAATCCCTGCTCCGGGTGGCATTCCTGCCGAGGCTCGGAGCCGGGAGGATCCTGAAGGCCTCGCTGGCCTGTGACCCTCATACGCACACGTTTGCTCTCACATGCTGCGCCGAGTACACGCCCTTCACACCCCATCCGCTCAGCCTCACAAGCCAGTGGGCGCATGGCCTCTCACCCCCAGAACCCATGTGTGCACACACCCACGTGCACACACCCATGTGTGCACACACCCACGTGCACACACCCATGTCCTGTGCACACAGCCCTGTCCAAATCCACCCAACATCCACGTGCACTCACCCCCCCACGCACATCCCACACACACACCACACCCCGTGCACACCACACGCACCCACATGCATATACCACATCCCTGCACACCCACACACACCCCACAGCCCGTACGCACCCACACGCACCCACATGCCCGCTCCACACTCCCTGCACACCCACACACGCCCACACGCACACACCTCACCCCACGCGCACCCACGTGCACCCACGCTCTGGAGGGCTCAGCCCTCCTGTGGCCTGGCACTCACACGCGCATGCACACACGTGCTGCGGTGGGCCCGTTGCTGCCGCTGCGGCCCCTGCGCCCAGTCATCCAACAACCCGCAGGCTGCTTGCTTTCATGGAAGCCAACGTTTGGCTTTTCTTCTGCAAGAACTTCTCACTCAGTTTCTCTCTCTCACTTTTCATTCTGACTGAGAAGGACTTTTTTTCAGTCTCTCTCTTGTGGTTTTAATAGTAGCTGTGGCTGGGGTTTAACCCCAGTACCCCGCTGCCTTCCACCCTGCTGGTGTCCACCCAGACAGCCAGGACTTCCCCGTGTGTCACCTCCACGTGGCCCTGGAGGATGGCAGGTGAAGAGGAAGGATGTAGGGGGCGAGGATGATATCACCGTGGGGCTGGGGTGCAGACAGACCCCAAGAGCGTGAGTGTACATTTCACCTCCGCTGGGAGTTTCTGTGAGCGATTCCAGAAGGCTCGGGCAGAGGTCATTCTGACGCTGTAGCTGAGATCCTTCGGGGAACTCGGGGTCACCGGCTGATCACAGCTTCGGGGAGAAGGCTGCCACCTGTGCCCCCTGCGCTGGTGCTCCAAGCTGACGCCCCACCCCCTCTTCAGACTCTTCAAAGCCCCTTTGGGCAGCTGCTGCTGAGAAGCGCCCCACCCGGGAAGGGGGTGGGGGCAGGGCTTGCCGATCACTTAGATATGGAAAGTCTTAGACTGGTCCCTGGGAGAAAGTGGCGTCGAGAAACTCTTCGGACCGGGGCCCCATGACTCGCCGCTCTTTCCCCAGTTTCTGGGGGCTGGGGGCAGGGTCCTGCACTATTCACTGGGATGACTGAATAACAGGAAGTTGTGCTTTTCTTTGTTCTGATGTGATGTGATGTCGTGATGTCAAATGACTCGCCTGTTCACGCAATTTCATGCCTGTGAACTGGCTGTTGAAATGCCCATCGTGAGGGGTGCGGGGGCAGCCAAGGGCACATGTGGCTGAGGACTGTTTCGGACTGAACCGGAACCTCCCAAATCCATCTGGGAAGCTCAAGCCCCCTGGCGATGTATGTGGAGACAGGTCTGTTTTTGTTTTTAAGGTGTTAAGGTTCTATGAGGTCACGTGGGCGGGCCCTATTCCAACAAGACCTGTGTCCAGTAAGCTCTCTCGCCAGGCGGTGAGCGCCACAGTGCGGAGACAGGCCTGCAGGCCCAGGGGGACCTCGGGAGAAACCAAGCCTGCCAACACCCCGATCTTGGATTTCCCGCCTGCAAGACATGTTTCTTTTTTTTTTATGCACACAAGAACTGGGGTACAGGTCAGAGGTGCTGGGGTGAGGGCATTCACCAGAGACAGAGTTGGGCGGGGGGGACCAGAACAGACAGATCTACCGAAACCCACTGCTGAGGGGAGCCAGGGGCAGGTCAGGAGAGGTCTGCTGTGCCCTGAGGGCCACTCGCTGGCCGTGTTTCTGTTGTTTAATCCTCCAGTGTGTGGAGTTTCTCACAGAAATGGTAGCAACCGGACACGGCTATTGCCGCAGTTCTGGGCCTGCGCGTAGTAACTGCTCAGGCAGGTTCACACTGGAACGTGCTCTTCCTGGTGTTTCCATCCCTCCTGTCAGTCTCCGTTCTGCACGATCTTTTCAAGGATGATTGCACAGGAAGCAGTCTTGGGCCCAGAAGTGGCCACTCCCTGCAAACCAGAGAGCAGGCATATCCACCTGCCGCAATAGTAGGGTCCCCGCACCCCTGAGACTTGCTTCCATCTCTGCATGATAAAGATAATGTCTTCTGGGAGTGAGGCCGTGCGGATGTGCC